GCATAGGGTTGTTGTGAGGGTTAAATGAGGCAGTGGCTTTAAACCACTTATTGGAGTACCTGGCATATAATAATTGCTTCATAATTGCTATTATAAGATCACCAAAGTAAATGCCTTTGTTCAGGAACGTAACTTTGTATCCAAGACTTTGGTAGTTATCTCAGGTTTAACCTGATAGGTTGTTCTCTGTATCTATAATTCATTACAACCCTTTCGCTAAGAATAGCCCTGGGTTGGCGTGATTATAAATTATATGCAAACAATGTGATCCAGAAACCAAAGTGGATTACAGATAGCAAATAATCTAAAATTGCCTCAAGCAAATATCAGACTAAGAAAAAAGAACACTTTCTCTGGCCCAGTGGTTAAGAGCATCAACTCTGGAATCAGATAGCCTGGGTTTGTATTCTGACTCCACCCTTCACTTGCTATGTGACACTGAGCAAGTTTCTTGTCCGCTCTGTTCCCCAGAATCTTAATCTGTTAAACGGTGGTAATAATAATACCTATGTGGAGAGTTGTTTTAAGTATATGTGTCCTAGCTTGTGTATGTTCATAAACTCACAGAAACACACACCCACACCCGACAGTCATCTATATAAAGTGATTGGACTCTATAACGGAAACATACAAGATGCTTAGAACAATTCCAGGCATAAAACAAGCACTGAACGAGTCTTTGCTATTATTTATATTTTGTTCATGTGTATGTATCTTTTGGGAGGATTTTGTATTAAAGAAAATTAAATCAGAGAAACTGTAATGTTCTCCCCCATAATTCAATATACTACAGTCTAGATTTGCAGTAAATTTGTAAAGTTGGAAACAAATACAGTTATCCTCAGTATTCATGATGGATTGGCCCCAAGATCCTCCTTTCTCACAAGGATCCAAGCATTCTTCTATAAAATAATGCACAGTTTGCATGCAACCTACATACATTGTCCCATATACTTTACATCATCTATGGATTGCTTGTCTTACTGAATACAATGTAAATTTTTTTTCTCCAATGTTTTAGAGCCAACCTGTAGATCTGGGCACTGACGATACTGTCTTAATCAAACTACATAAGACGGAAGGCCCCTCTTCACACCCACTCACAGCCTTCTTAAAGATATGATTGACATTTCATTTACAACCAGAGCTAGTAGCTTTAAGACACTCTAGCCTTTAATGGTGTTCTAGGAAAAAAAGAGATCCCCACTCCAGTCTGGGCGACAGTGAGACTCCACCTCAAAAAAAAAAAAGAGATCCCTTTCATACTTACAATATTTCTAAAAATGTACTTTTAAGGGATGTCATTGACGATGTTATTGCCAGATTCTGTGGTCTTTTCTCCATCTGTTGTAGCCCTGGCCTTGCTACTGCATGTGACATTATTAACCACTCTGTGCTTGACGTCGTCCCTTCCCTGGGTGCCCTGACTTACACAGGACTTCCCTCCCAGCCTTTGCTTCAGGGTGGCACCTCTTTCGCCACCTGCCCCTCCCTGGGTATCTCCACCAGCACCAAGCCTTTCCTCCTCAGGACACTTCCTCGGAGGGCTCCCCGATTCCCATGTTTTCATCTCCCCTCCACAGTCCGAGGCTTCACGTCTGATCTGTTTTCACAGTTCAGCTCTAGACTTGCAACACCCACACACCAGTTAACATTTCCAGCTGAATTCCTCATCACCACTTCAAAATTGAATATACACTTTTTCTAAAACATTTTCCCTCACAGCCCCTCTCCCCACCCAGCCCCTTGTATCAATAATCCCACTCTGGGCCTAGTCCCTGGGCTTAGCATGCTACTACTATCTCTGACCATTCCTTTATGTTCCTTTCTGAAAGTTCCTATTGATTCCACACCCCCCACCCCATGCAGCCTCACAGCCACCTGCCCTTCTAGCTCAGACTTTGTTACCGTGCAATTACCTCCTAGGAGACTTGCCACTGCAGGCTGTCTCCCTCCAGGTCACTTTTTGTAGGCTCAATGGGCTAACCTTCCTTTTAACAGACTGTCCATTCCAGAGCTTTCCTATTTGCACCCCTATCAGTGCAGACGCTTGTGCCTGGCTTTCAAACATTCCGTGATTTCTTTAAAGCCTGTGGCCCCTAATGTCTCACTTGGGCTAGTTTGGTCTCTGCTCTGGGAAGGCCACTGGCCAGAGTCCCAGGGGCACACCTTGTACACCTCATGGTAGCTCTCACAGTTCCTCCTTCCTCTGAGCCAACCACTACATGGGAACTCATATATTCCCTTGTGCCTGTTTACACTTGTACAGTGTGCTTCAACTTTGTTTTCCAGGTGTACAAGGACAGGAACCATTTTTAAAACATTTTCAAATTATATCTAAGTCTAACATAGCATCTGGAACGAGTAAAGAAAGAACACTTAATACCCCTGAAAGAGACCAACGTATACTGCCCAATTCCCTTATGTAAATGAAGAATCAGAACACCTGAGATAGACATTTTAAAATTTAATAGTGATATATTTAAATTGATGACTATCTTCTATTCCTGGCAAATGGTGTCTGGTTGCCATTGACATCATTGCTAGAAAATTTTGTTTTAGAATACATTTGCATGTGATTAAGAATATTAATTTAGAGAGACATGTTAAGTAGATAGCAGTACTACAGGTAGAAAAATATGGCAACAGTTGTGAGAGTAATCCTCAAGTGATGGAAGTCTTGAAAGTGCTGCAGTGCAATGTGGTTATAGTTTGTGCTTAATGAATAATTGTGAACTAACGGATAGCTCACATCACTCAACCTAGAAAACAGCCTCTAGAAAGCCCCTTATGACAAGATGGGCAGACGTTAATTTTCAGCTACATTTTTAGCGTAAGGTCAAGGGAAGAGAAGAGAAAAGGATCAACTGGCAAAAATGACTTTCAGCTCCTAAGAGGTTGTCCGGTTGCTGTGTGTGCTTGAGGTGACAACATGACTGACTGCAGCCTACGGGTGTCATCCAAAGACAATGGGGACATTCTTCAACTACCTACTGCTTTTCCTAGGACGATTTCTCCCTCACAATGTCTAACTGGACAAACTGCAACACATTAAATATTGAGTGACCCCCCACACACACAAAAAAGTGTTTAAATTCCCAAATGCACAATGCCCTTTGTAAAAGAGACACTTTTGTATTTTAGGTGCCAATTCATATTCATCCTTCTGTCTTATTTTTGGAAGCTTTAACAACCACCCTCAGAGCACTCCCTGACAGTGGTTTCCAACAGCAGGTTTAGACTCCCTGACCAGGCTCACTGAATTATAGGCCTCAAAGTAAACTCAGCAGGAGAACACAAATAGACTGCGGCCGGAGGTCTGTTTATGGTGGGGCCTAAAAAGCCAAAATCTAAAATGCAGAGAACTCTGAGTATTTGGAGGGTTGAAAATGGAATCCACTGTGCAATGCAATTCTAATGCAATTACCCAGAGTTAGGCCAAATTTCACAGATTAAAGGCACAGGCCCACAAGACTGCACTCACCTCAGACGCCAGCTGCCAGTTGAAGGGACCTCAGGACACCTGTACTTCTGACCAATTGGTTACAAATTTGGGAGCCTTCACAAGCCCCAAGGTTTGATACTTGTTGGAACAGTTCACTGAACTCATAAAATGCTATACTTCCAGTTAACATTTTATTATAAAATATGAAAATTGGAACCAGTTAAATAAGAAGGCACATGGGGCAAAGTCTGGGAGGGTTCCAAGCGTGAAGCTTCTGTGTCCTCAGGATACGACCCCCTCCTTGTATACCAATGTGTATCTCCAGCCAAGAAGCTTACCCAAGTATTGGTGTCCAGAGTTTTTATTGAGGCTTCATTTTACAAGGGTGATTGACTCATTTTCAACATGATTAGACTCAATTTCCAACCCCATTTCTGTTTCCAGAACTTGGGAGGAAGGTCAGGCTGATATCACATGGCTCAAAGCTCTCCTGTAATCACATGGTTGATCTTTCTGGAAGAGCCAGTTCCCATTCCAAAACTATCTATAGGCCTCATCTCATTAGCATAAATACAAATGTGTCCCAAGGTCCCACCATCAATAACAAAGACATTTATATCACTTGGGAAATTCCAGGGGTTTGGAAGTTCCCTCTTGAGAACCCAGAACAAAGACCAGATCAATTGCTTATTATAAGACATACACAAAATACAGTAAGAAATGGACCTCTTTTAAATCATAAAAAACTATGGCAAAATAATAATAATAATTTTTTTTTTTGGTGGTGGAAAGATGTGAAAGAAGAATGAACTAATTGAAATTATTTGCTGGTTTTAATTTTCATCTAAATAAACCTGAGTTCTGAGATATTTGTGAATTTTTTCTTGTCAAGAATGGTGTTTCAAGAGCCCCCTAATTTTGAAATATCACCTCAAGGCTAAATATCACCTCAAGGCTAACCCTAACCCTAACCCTACTAAGGTTGGGAAGATGGGGGGTAATATTTAACCAGAGGCTGCCCCCTGGAGAATGTCATTTAAATACAAAATAAATGATCATTAAACATCACTAGAGTCTTTTTAATTTGTTTTTCACTCATTCATTCATTCGACAATATTTATTGAGTTCCTCACATGCTAGCCACTAGTCATATATGGTCATGCTGTCAGTGTAAGAGAGAAAAAATATTTGTTTATTTGCATTTCCTAGAAAAGGGAAGGATCAGCCATTTGAAATTGTGTGCTGATTTTAATTGCAATCTAAATAAACCTGACTTCTGAGATAAATGCTAGTCTTTGTTGCCAAGGGAGATGCTAAGACAGTCCCCAAGTATAAGTATTAGGCATTGAGTCTATATATTTGAAAAACTGGGGAAATGGGAAATAATAGAAGAAATATTTGCTGTTTATTTAACAAGAAGGCTACCATTTGGTCTTCGTGTTTTTAAACAAAATCACGAAGTGTTTTGAAATGTGATGTGACATAAACTGTTCTTTTTTTACTTTCCTGTAATTGGAGCAACATACTAATTTCTACAAGTTGTGACTACTAACAGAGAGCAATCACCTCACAGACTTGTACCGAAGAGATGAGACCATCCAGGTGACAGGAAACGGCCACGTGCAGAGTCCCCGCTTCCCGAACAGCTACCCCAGGAACCTGCTCCTGACGTGGCGGCTCCGCTCCCAGGAGAAAACGAGGATACAGCTAGCCTTTGACCATCAGTTTGGATTAGAGGAAGCAGAAAATGATATCTGTAGGTAAGTGAAAAAAACATCCACTGGAGGGCATGATTTCAAGGTGAAAAAATAAAGATGAATTTAAAGCATCGCATCAAACGTTGCTTTTGAGCCCCTTAGACTTACCCAGAATGTGTCACTCTTTTTTTCCCAAAAGCCATTTGTCAACTTTAGCAGACAAAATAGCATAGACCAGGGGTCCCTAAACCCTGGGTCATGGGCCGGTACCAATCCGTGACCTATTAAGAACTGGGCCCCATGGCAGGAGGTGAGTGGTGGGTGAGCAAACAAAGCTTCATCTGTATTTATAGCCACTCCCCATTGCTCACATCACCGCCTGAGCTCCGTCTCCTATCTGACCAGCAGAGGCATTAGATTCTCATAAGAGCATGAACTCTGTCATGGTCTGGGCATGCCAGGGATCTAGGCTGCACACTCCTCATGAGAATCTAACACCAGATGATCTAAGGTATCACAGTCTCCCATCACTCCCAGATGGGACCATCTAGTTACAGAAAAACAAGCTCAGGGCTCCCGCTGATCCTGCATTATGGTGAATCGTATACTTATTTAAGTGTATAGTATAATGTAATAATAAAAGAAATAAAGAGCACAATAAATGTAATGCATTTGAATAATCCTGAAACCACCCTCCTGCCCTGTCTGTAGAAAAAATTTGTCTTCTGTGAAATTGATCCCTGATACCAAAAAGGTTGGACACCACTGGCATAGACTACTGCTACCTAGGGCCTAATAACCTGACACGACTCACAAACTCACATCCCCAACTGTCAGGACTACAGGACTCCCAGAAAAGGATGGGATGTGGAGGTCCTTGTCTTTTCCAGCACAAAATAGCCTTTGAGAACAAGTAGGTGCCTCCAACACCCTGGATCACCGGCGGCTGCATGATGTGGCCCTGGCCAAATCCTACCACGGGCTTAGCAAGCAAAACCCCGCTCCACTCTAGTTGGCCCAGGCCATTATAACCATAATGATTTCCCCAGCTCTGGGAGATGATGACTGGGGACTGTGACAGGGCCCGACCCTGAATTCATGGTCTTAAGGCTGCAGATATGTGTAAAAAGGAAGAGGTGGCAACCCCAGCATCCTTGTGCTTCTCAGATGGGTCTTCTGCCCCAGTTTCTGGATCAGGAGTAGAAGATGAAAGCTATGCCTGATAATCTTCTGCCTTCTTAGCATATTTATCAAAGAAAGCCTAGGCTGTTGTTCCTTGAATGTCCGCTCACAGCATTTTGCTCACTTAATTAGCATGTAGAAGACTTGGTGAAGATTTTTTTTTCTTTCTTGTACTTTACTGCACAAACTTGTTCTGCATTGCCAATGAACTACTGAACTGCTAAATCCTTTCAGTAGGTTTATTTTCCCTTGAATAATAAAAAGAGGCGCCTCAAATTTGGCTGTCCTTTGTTGCATGTTTATTATGCTGACAGTTTTTATTATGTTGCTATTTTTCTAGAATAACAGCAGTGACTGTTACTTTCTAGGACCATAGAGGGTAATGTATGCCAGAAAGCGGAGATGAATATGTTCAGGAAGAGTCAGTTAATATTTACAAAGAGAATAAACTAATGCTGATCTTGTGTCTTTTCAACCTTGAAAAAGAGAATGAGTTTGCAGAAAAAAGAAAAAGAAAAAGAAAAAAAAACTCTCAAAAAATTGTTAAAGGTGATGACATGGGAGGCACCATGATCTGTTTCTATCCACAGAACACTTCTGACACCAAATGTGTAAAGTTCCAACCCCCCCCCACCACCAACACCACACACACATATCCCAACTAATTATCTGATGCCAGCTGGTGTCCTCTAATTCAATTCAATTTTGATGGTATCTACCTGGAGTGAGTGTCAAATCCCACAAGACAAGGGCTGAGTCCCACAAGACTGCCTCCACATTCAAGGTCATTCACAAGTCACAGATCTCCTGTACTACTGACCAACCAGCTATAAATCAGGCAGTTCCAAAGCCCCTTCTTTGGGCTCCACACCATGCTGGAATTGCTCTCAGAACTCAAGAAAACACTCTATTTGTTGTTACCGGTTTATTATAGAGGATGCAACTCGGAAAGGGCACCTTCTAGGAGTGCACTGCTTTAAAAACACCTTGGTGTGTTCACCAGCCTGGAAGCTCTCTGAACCCCACTGTTAGAGGTTTGTACAGAGATGTCATTATGTAGGCAGGATTGATCAAATCATTGGTAACTGAACTCAATCCCTAGGCCCTCTACCCTTTCGAGAGGCCCCGGGGTGGGGAAGAAAGTTCCAGCCCTCTAGTCATGTCTTGGTCTTTCTAGTGACCAGCCCTATTCTTCCTACCAAGAGATTCCTCATTAGTATCAACTCTAATGGTGTGGTTGAAAGTGGTTAATTATGACAACAAAAGATGCTCCCCTCACCCCATCGTTCAGAAACCCCAGGGAGTTTAGGAGCTCTGCACCAGAAATCAGGAACAAAGACCAAATATTTATTTTCTGCTATATCACAATATCACAGAAGGGAACCCAGGTCTCCACCCCTGAGCTGGGGTTTGATACTTGTGCTCTTTTGACACCGTGGCCTTGGAAATAGGAGAAGAGTCAGGATGATTTCCTTTCTGGGCCCCTCATCAAATCTAGCTGCTTCTCAAAATTTATGAACAGAGGGAGAAGAATAAGAGGTAAAAAGAGGAGTGGAAGAAGGGAAAGGGGCTGATCAAACTTGCCTCAGAACCCTACCTCAGAAATAAAATAGTATACTCTTGACTTAAGATTGAGTGGTAAATGTACACTGATGTTGTGTGTGTGCGTGTGTTTTCAAGTGACCTATCGTGTTATTGACAGTTTCAAGATACTCATGCTTTGTGCAGTAAATATAATTTACACATATTGTATACAAAATGAAATGCAATTGATTTCTTACCATCTGTTCCAAAGCCTCCTTGATGTTTATACTGTAATATTTTATTGCTTGAATAATGATTCTTTGTTAGTGCTTTTCACCTTCTAAGAACCCTGCAAACGTTGAGTAATTAATTTGCACAGCACCCAAGAGAGATCCAGCTGGTAAAATTATATAAGCCTTCCTATTTTGCCCATTAAAGAAACTGAGGCAAAAAAGCATCAAGGCCTCATAAATCACTGTCAAAGAAATTTAGACACAATATCATTGTTTTTTACTGACTCAGATTACCCTGCTCAATCCAGTAAGAGCTCTGAGGTACTTGGATAAGACCAGTAAAGCCATAGTGGTTTTTCTTCATATTCAAACGTGATGTTTCTTATCCTGATTCCTTCTGGTAATCATGACTGAAAAACATAAGGTGGATGGCAGTCTTCTGCCACTGTTCCCCCGGTATGCTCATTGTCTGAGTGTGACTTTAGCATCTGAAGTCATTTTGGGAAAGGGAGAGTGAAAGAGTGAGACACGGATGACTGGCATCGAAATCAGACAATTCAGTTCATCAGTAGAATGTTCCAAGGTCTTAAGGGTCTGAAAGTAGAATGAATGATCCCTAGAAGATGCAAACTCTGCCACCAAGGATGTCCTACTATGTGATGAAATGCTGGGATGCTATGGGAGAACTTTGAGGATCAAACGATCACAAGGATAGCTGAAGAGGCTCTTGCTGTCTTCTTCAGTCCTGGAATTCTATGTTTCTCTGACCAACACCAAAGGTGAACCAGCTCGTTCACACCCTAGTTTGATAAACCCAAATGGTGCCGGGCTTGGTGACTCAGCCTGTAATCCCGTGTCTTGGAAGGCTGAGGTGAGTGGATTGCCTGAGCCCGCAGATTCGCGACCTGCCTGGGCAACTTGGCGAGACCTCATCTCCACAATAAATCAAAAAAATAGCCAGCTGTGGTAGTGCGCGCCTGTAGTTCCGGCTACTTGGAAGGCTGAGGCGGAAGGATTGCCGGAACCCAGCAGGTCGAGGCTGCGGTGGCCAGGAGCAGCCACTGCACTCCAGTCTGGGCAGCAGAGTGAGACTCCAACTCAAAAAATAAAATAAATTAAACCCAAATGTTTCCAGCATTGGTTAGCACGTCTTTCTCCCCAAAGTTGTATGCTTTCCTTTATGATAAGTTTTATGTTTATGACGTGATCCTTCCAAAAGACTGTTTCCAAAAAGAGAGTATAGCAAATTATATCTATATCCCTTTATTTTCTGTAATGAAAATGTTGAATCTCTAAGCTTTATAGATATAGGTCATTTACTTTCTTGCAAAAGCACTGAATGTGGTAAATTAATTCAAAGTGGGAATTTGTTTGAAAAACTATATATAGTGAATGTTTGGGGCTGGAACAAGAGCTGCCTGTCCTCAGATCTGCCAACAGATTACAGTTACCAAGGTTTTCAAGAAAACTTTCTAGACCAGATGCTTAGAAAGTAGCCCATTTTGATTATTGATGATTTGGGAACAATTGTGGCTAAAGGTATATAAGTGTTCTCTCAGAACAGATTATTGACGTTTGAATTTGGAAAACCTTATCCCAAAACTAGTTTTTCACTTAAAATTTCTATAGACTATAATTTTCATTTCAGGCAGGAGTCGTGAGAAAACACATATGCTGGTTTTAATTTCTCAGTGTAAGTATGAATTTCAAAATCTACTTTAATCGAAACATGTTTATTATGTCAAATTGATTCTAGGTATGATTTTGTGGAAGTTGAAGATATATCTGAAACCAGCACCGTGATCAGAGGACGATGGTGTGGACACAAGGAAGTTCCTCCAAGGATTACATCAAGAACAAACCAAATTAAAATAACATTCAAGTCCGATGACTACTTTGTGGCTAAACCTGGATTCAAGATTTATTATTCTTTTGTGGTAAGTAGCTTAACCACCCTGTGATTAAAAGCAGACACTGGTTTTATGAAGTATTAAGATCATTTTCTATGATTTCAAATAGAATTGCATGAGGATGAATGAACTTTATTAATTCCTTATGGCTTGGTTTGTTCCTACCTTATGGTCAAAATGTTAAAGCCTTTGTTAATAAGAAATACCATTTTAAGCTGGGCTCGGTGGCTCAGCCTGTAATCCCGCGCCTTTGGGAGGCTGAGGTGAGTGGATTGCCTGAGCCCGCGGGTTCGAGACCCGCCTGGGCAGCGAGAC